ATGTGAAAATTACTCTTGATCACATTTGATGATGATAGATGATCCTAGCAAACTAAACAGACCTTTTATTCCCGGTTGCTTTGCGCACGTCTGGTCTTGTTGATATGATTATACACGTGATTACCGGGACATGTTAATACGCTCAGCTGTCAATCAATTCGGTGGCCGGGGGGACAGTACTTCTATGTTAAGTTGCGGTTGGTCTGAAAACTGCTCCAATTAGTCCACCGTTTTTATGTTGTTAAATTGAAAAAAAAAGGACTGGGTGTGTTTATTTCACCCCAATATGACGGTCTATACACTATATCTACACATATGTCTGTCCAAACAGCTTGAAAAGTAGATTTTTCACCATAGGTGCCCTTTAATTTAAAGTTGAGTTACAACTGCCAGGATTTTGAAGACTGTACACACCATTTACCTAGCCTCAAGAGATTCCAAACCTTTTAAAAAATTGTATTGGCTACAGAACAACCTACTGTTATGCAATTAAACCTAGTCAACCTAACCTAGTTAAACCTTTAAAGTGCACTTTAAGCTGAAAACTAGTATGTTGCAAAAGAACTTAAATATTATGTACTGTCATGGCAAATACAAACAAATCAATTAATAAATCTATTATGTTAAAAATGTGTTTGAAAAAAAAAACTTCTCTCTGTTAAACAGCGTAAATTCTAAAAATGAAAAAGTAAAAATGTCAGAGGAAGGCATAATTTTAAAATAATTTTAATTTCATATATAGTGCTTAGCATATGAGTACACCCCCCACAAATCTCTCATTTAAATTAATATTTTTTATAAGAAGCTTTACAATATTTTATTTGCGCATATACATTAGTCAGTACTGAAGCCAAATCTGGAGCTTATTAAAACAATAACCTGCAATAATGGTTCAAATTAGTAACCCAAATATCTGTTATAGAAAAATACTCTATTTAATATTCAAAAATAGCAAAAATCAAGAGAAGCAAAAAATATGTACAATTTTGTTGAAATGTTGTAGTTTGTCTTTGTTTTGCAATATTTTGCCTGAATTCAATTGTATTATCTTTCCATTTCTAAAGATGTTCTGTGACTAAAATATTATTTTATTAAATATATCTGTTTAATAAATCTGTTTTGTTCAAATGCATTAATGTATATTGCCTATATTCACTGAGAATTGGATAAAAACATTCATTTTCAAAATGAGGTGTACTCAGTTATGCTGAGCACTAACAAAACCATGTATAGAGTCGCCGCAATAGCCCAGTGGTTAGTGCGCGGACATATGGTGTGGCAGCGCTCCGGGCGTCCCGTGTTTGAATCCTGGCTCGTGGATCTTTCCCGATCCTACCCCCCTCTCTTTCCCACTTCACTCCCTGTCAACCTACTATGCTGTCAAAATAAAGGCAAAATGCCAAAAAATACATCTTAAAAAATAAACAACATGCAGAGAAGGGGAAAAAATAAAAATAAAAAAAAGTTAATTGAACACATTTGCTTTTAAATTTCAGGGTTAAGATTTAACTGTATTTATTTTTTTTTAAATGTTAAGATTACTGCAATTTCTGCACCTTTATGTAAGGTATATAAAATAATATTTAATTTCCCCAATTTAATGCTTGCAAGTTTTATTGGAGTTTAAAAGGTTTGATTAGGCACACATCCCTTGACAATATATTTGAGCATTTTCTCCTTTTTTGATTAATTATTTGAGTCTTACATCATGCCATCTTCATGATGCCATCTTCCAAAAGTATACTAGTGTAGAGACGTATTATATTAAGGCTTTGTAAATTAGTAGTTTTATTATTATTTTATTTTATTTATTATTATAGGTTTATTTATTTTGCACTGAATAAAATTAATTCCTCACAGAGTTAAAACCGACACAATCCAATAGAGCACGCTTCAATTAAATTGCTTTTACAAATAGAGCATATGGAAGGATCATCTCCAAGAATCAAACACATGACATGTTTCATCCTGGACTGACCGATTCTACTACAGGTAACACCTGATCCCTGACCATTTATAAAGCGTATAAAAGTTTCTTTTTCCAACATTAGGGCTAATTTCATGAAGTTTGTTATTTGTATGTAGATCCATTTTCTTTGCCTTTTTTATTATTGTTAGGCCTGTCACGATACCTATTTTTATAGTATGACATATTGCACCAAAATGCATTGCATTAACTGATATTATTGTAATTTTAAGGTCATTTTATGCCACTCATTATATAATGCCAGAATGACAATATAATATCATCCCAATGCAAATACACATAAATCTTCCAAAAAACACATAATTTATTCTTAAGAATATTTCATTTAATTATAGTCACTTTAACAATTTAATAATTCGGCAATGGAGGCGGAATGTGAAAATGCATATTCTAAATAAATAATAATAAATGTTAACAAAATATTCATGTACCAGATCTATTTTTAGTCATCAGACACCCACATAAAAATATACTAAAGATATTTATAGTAATACTATAGTGTTTGTTTTTTTAACCATACTGACACCTCTAATAAAGATAGAAATGTTGCATTATCATCTAAAATGTTGGTAGAATAGTTTTTTTATGTATAAGTGATCTATGTTGCATTGCCAAAAATGATTGAGGTCATATCCATGTGTTGTGTGATTAGTCGATATAGTGGACAGTGGAAGTGGACACATTTGTTGTAAAAAGTGCCTATTTTGCCCCTTTTTTACAAGTAGACAAGTGGATTTGTTTTTGCTATCATAGTTGGTTAGTTGCATTTTATTATATGTATTTTGCCTATTTTTTCCCTACTGTGTCAGCTATCAAAACTGCAACTGACTCTTTGAGAACCCCTAAACAGGACCACTTTATTATTCACTACAAGCAAAATGCAAATAGATTCAGATTACATGCTGGTAGAGAAACCAAGAATTGCTACTGGGAATCTATAGTAGAGAGTAAAATAATGACTGACCATCATGCAGGAATAGATGGTGCAACATTAACCAGATAAACCCAGACAAGAAGGGATTAAATTGCAAAAAACATGCAAAAGCGTGTATAACTTTATATCAGCTGTAAAAGGTCTCACTGTATTATCAGCATGAGGGTGTCTCAGATGTGAAAATAAGGCCAAAGAGAGGTTAATTTGAGGTTGTTTCAATTGCATCATTACGCAACATGTCTTGCTGTTTCCTCAAAAACAAAAAAAAAACACGTATCTTTCATGATATCAGACTCTGAATTTAAGACTACTATTTAGGACTATTTCTGTGCGTTCCAATGCAAAGGGCTTAATCAGCAACCCATTGACTGATGCCGCACAATCAGACACATAAATAAAGCTTAAATGGATCAATACCTCTAACCAGAGAGCATCAGATTCAATAAAAGTCACATAAAATTAACCTTTCTCTGAGAGCGCACACACCGAGGATTGCTTCTAACAGCTTTTCATCAACAGCCTGCAATTGAACGGGACAAGAAAAATGACCCTCAGCTTGAATGGAAACAGGAGCACTCTTATCTCCAGCCACTGCAGTTTAAAAATATGTAGCCATGCTCATGAGGTCTGTAGTCAAGCCTGGATGCTAGGTTTATCTGATTAACCCTATTCGATTGGGAAAAATGTATTAGCACAGTGGCCAAATCCAGTCCAAACTGGCGTGCGACTTCAAACCTCTTGTAAATGCTTGCGTCTAATTAACATAATGCAGTTATCAAGCCCAGTAGTTTTAAAGTATATCATGATTCATAGACAACAGGATGAATTTTAATCATTCACTTTTGGTTTATTCCATTCATCAGTGGTCGTTACAGCCGAATGAACCATTTCTAAAATGTTAACAGGCCTATTATTAAAAATGTGCTAATGAAAATTAGGCTGAAATAATATAAAAAATAATAGTTCAAAATAAACTAAAAAAAATAATAAAAAACATGCATAATAGCAATATTTATTAATATTATATTTATAAAAATATTTTACAAATTGATAAAAAATTTAACTACATTTTAAATAATTTAATTAAAATAATTAATAATTAAGTTGAATTTTTTAAGCCAGCTAGAATAAGGAAAACTCACTTTTTATTTTATTCTAGAAATTACTAAATTATATTTACTATTTTACAACGGCATCTCAAGGTACTTTTACGTAAATATTAGCACTGATCTGCCTTCATTCACAACGCATAAAGCAATTATTCACAATACACTTAAATACTATGAGTCATCTGCCATAAATGCTAATTCAGTCTTAATAAGTGACAAGAAACTGAGAAGGAAATACATTGCAATACCATGGAGATTACCAATAAAAACAATCACACGTCCGCTTCCAAGTGTTTAGACCTTTCTTTTAGTTCAGCGTCTTAAAATAGCACCTGTCAAAATACCAGCATATCAAAAGACAATTCACAGGCTCCACCAGAAACATTTCCTACCGTCAAACTGGCACAGTTGTGTATTTTGTTCATATTTGTATTAACAGTAATTAAAAAAAAATCACCCTGGTATAAAAATAAATCTGAAAAAACATTATTCAGGAAAAATAGGCATCCACAATGATTTTAAAATACTGTCCATGTAGGTATCTCACTAGTTTTTGAGACACTATCATCCCCTCAAAGCTATGATCACTATAATTCCTTCATACCAGCACTGCATGGTACAGTTTACTCTTGAAAAATGAAACCTCCCCTCCACCTTCTTATTGTAAACAACGCTGTGCAATCATATGGCACACTTTCATGCGGAAAAGAAGGCGGAAAATTCTTGAAGCCAGTACTGAAGTCTCATTCATTCTTTCATTAATTGCATTTATATAACAGCTCGCGCATCTATATAGTGTTATACGAGCATCTGCCTGCAATATAATGAATGATAATGATACTTTTTTACTGGCACATCGTGTTCATTAATGTTTCGCACTTAAGAAAAAAGAATGATGGTTAAGACCGAACAATATGTTCAGACGGTTAACGTCAAGTGCCATAAAAAGAGTTGTTAGATGATAACTCACCCTGGATGTTCCAGCTGGAGCTCCGTCTTCCCTGCGCGAACGATGTTCTGGCTGCTCTGAACTGGTCTTGGTGTGCGCATGCGCATCGGTAGCGGATGGGGGAATCCAGTGACGTCGCCTTGATGACACGTGACTGCACACTGCGCATTTTATATTGTTCACGTTTGATGCTGTCACTTCGGCTGCTGGTTGTGCAGTATTTCTGTGCATTTCTCCCATCCTTCTGTTTCCCCCTTTAGACCCCTCTTCTACAATGGTAGGAAAATATTGTTCTTTGCAACTTCTTCAAACAAATCAGTACGCGCTTTATTTCCTAATGGAATTGTATGAGTTCCAAATATTACTATTTATTGGAACTCTTGTGTTCCTGATAATGATTGGAAAAAAATATGTCTCATCATAAATAGCTACTTAATTACAAATAAGATAAAAGAAGTTTCATTTAGAATTATTCATTGTACAGAGTGCGGGCAATTAACAATTTTGGTTTTGGCCAAATAATGAACAAAGTAATGGGGTTAGACAAACCCTATTTTTTTGCCAACAACACACAAGCCTGTTCTACAATTGAGCACTGAAATTGTGATCGCCAGACCTATGGTTTCTGTGCAGTATTGTCAAAAGTGCCAGAAGTAAAAATGTTACTATTTACCCCACCTGCGGGGCAAGCTGTAACAGTCAGGGGATTAGTTGTAACACATGCTTAAAAAGGCAGATTTCCCACAATTCATTTAAATCCAGTTTACTAAAAAAGTAGCTATATTTCCTCAAATATTGAATAATTTTTATTTTACATAGAACAGTATGTTTATTTATTGGATTCAGTCTGTGTTTTTAACATCTTTCAAAATGGTTTCTTTTTTAGCCTAAAAGACAACAATATAAATTTTTACTTAAATACTTTCACAGATTTTTTAAAAATTAAAAATACTTTTAAAAAATGGTTTCTCCAGTGTTTCTCATCCAAATTTCGCCAAACCTTTTAAATAATTGGAAGGAAAATGTCTGCTGACACTTTGGTGAAAACCTTGGAAGCATGCCATGATTAACCCTGAGCAAAAACTCTGTGATACATTTAACCCTGCAATACTTTGTGCCCTGCGCTCCCCTATGTAGTGAATACTCTCTTAGTAAAATACAAAAAAGATATTAACACTAATTGTTTGTGTAAGCAACACCCAGAGTCTCCAGTTCACTTATTTTGGCAATGTAGTTATTCTAATTTGCTTTGGAAAGATTTTTCCCTTTTTGTGATTGAGAATGTTGATAAAGACTTTTCCTTATTATAGGGAAATGTTTTGTTAAATACAAAACAGAACCTTTACATACAAAGAGAATATATTTTCTTAATCTTCTTATCTTGCTAACAAATTTTTATATACATTAATGAAAATTTACAAACTAAAAACTTAAAAATATATATTTTTAAAGTATAAAGTATATATTTTTGAAACTAAAAGGCTTTAAAAATAGTTGAAATGTGTAAATGATATGGTCTTTTTCTTTAATGTGTGATGTATATACTCCTTCTATTTTTGTTTTCTTTTTTTAATATATATATATATATTATAAAATGTATTTTCTTTATAATGTACTGTGATTGTATATTCTCACTTTTCACAATCTAATAATAACATAAAATAACATTTATAAAATGTGCATTTTAGATATAAAGGCTATTTGTCAACATTTGACCACAACTTCATTCATTCATTCGTTCGTTCATTTTTTTTCGGCTTAGTCCCTTTATTAATCTGGGGTCACCACAACAGAATGAACCGCCAACTTATTCAGCACATTTTACGCAGCGGATTTGACTACAATTTGTACATGCTATACAATTATTGATGCATCAAAGCTAATAAATAACACAAATTAAGATGATTGATAATGATAAGCATGTATAAAAATTAAAGAAGTTAAAAAGTTTAAATATTCTATTCTTGAGCATTTCTGTACATTTTGAATTCATTTTATGTACAGTAAATGAGTTTTACACGTGTGAAAATTATTATTTCACTATAAATGCAAAAATAGCTTAATAAATTTGTTTTAAATTTTGCATTCAGACTATTAAACACATCCATAAATGTGATCCTAAATCCTAAATCATTTCACTTCATATTAATACATTTCTAGGGGGAAAAGGGATCAGATTGATTTGAGAAACACTAAAAAGCCTGCAGATTCCAAAATCTAAATCAGGTGCAAATTGATTTTACAAGAGAAAAGACATAAAGACGAAGATTTAAGTTACACAAAGATGTGTGAATTTGATTTATTTTTAGAAGTATCACATTTATTGGTGTAATAACTATTCAGGCTGTATGAAGTGCAGCTAGTTTTTTAGGTAATTCTTCAGTGAAAAAGAGCAGCTTGTCCTTCTTGAGGCCTTGTCCCTCAGTTTGCTGCAATCCCAGGTTCAAGTACTTATTAGACTGGTCGTAAACAGGCCAGGGCACTGGAGCGGGATTTGGGGATCTGTACAAACCACATAATTATATGAGGAATTAATGATTAGTAGTAACAAACATATTCTGCCGAGCATCTGATGCAGCACTCACCCAGTACGAACAAAGTTAGCCCAGTATTTCATGACAGTTCTGCATAATTGGTTTTCTTCTTCAGTGAGTGTTCCTGTGGACGATAAAGAATCGATATCAGTTACCAGATCACTACTTCAGCACCATTTACACTTCTGTTGCTGTCGTTTGCAGTTTTAAATGCAAGCAACTTTAACATACACAGTTTTATTTAAATAAGCATGGCAAATAATTCAGATTTTAGATCTGCATACCTGTAACTTTCACCTGACCATCCCAGAAGCAGGCCCCAAACATAAATCCAATTTCATCACCATGGTCGGCCTTCACAAAACTGGGTCTGAATTTATTAGCTATACTTGGCCCGTGCTGGAACTCATACATATAGACAGGCGCTCCGGCATCTGTGAATAATTATATAAGATGATGGAAAACAATAGAGCCAAAATAAAGCTGCAAGCAGCAATTAAGGGGCCAAGGACAAAACTCGCAAAACAAGGAGCTCAGTATATCAGAGACAATCAGAAAAGCTTCAGCAGTGAGTGATTACTGCCGGATTTTAGTGCAGATTTTTGTGCAAATATGATTTGATGCTTTATCACTTCAGGTGGTGCTGTTGCCAAACGCATTGGTGGTTAGGGTGAGGTTGCAATGGCATTCAAGTTTGGTGTCAACTTGTCAAGGTCTTGCAGAGATAAGTCGTTACACCGATTCCAAGTTGAATACTTTCTTGTGTCTTTCAAGAAGGTTTGACTAATCAACTTGCAAATAATAGGATTTTGTTTGCAGCTATACTCTGAAGATAACATGATTGAATTTTCTTGGATATCAAACCAGCAATCTAGATGGAGTTAACCTCAGGTTTTGGTTGTCAGAACACACAAAGACAAAAAATTGGTCTGAATATACTAAGCATTGCAGTGAAATAAGCTGCACTTTGGAGAGCTTTTTGACGAATTTTGTGTGAGTCATTTGACAAAGCTGAAAGTTAATTAACTTTTTGTCATCATGGATTGAAGATTATCTAATCCAGTGGTTCTCAAACTTTTTTTCACCAAGTACCACCTCAGAAAAAAATGTCTCCCCAAGTACCACCATAATGACTGGTATTGAAATACATAGTAGGCATAGTTAAGTGGCTACAGCTCTGCACAGTTCACAAACATGGCAGATTAATTCTTCTTATTATGAATATTTATTATTGTCAGCCAGTTTAAACATAATAAATAATTACAATAAATTTTACAAGTAAAAAAAAGATACATAAAACGACAACGTTTAAATTAAAATTTTTAAAATGGCACTGTTCTTAAAAAGTTAAAAGAAAACTAATATACTTAAATGTAAAGTATTATCATAAAGTAGTCTATTCATCAAAACCTGCAAATGTTTCCTAGACCTCATAAATATATGGTAATACCGTATGTCATAATATTCATATATAACTCTGCTCGATAAATTTTGAAATGTGTTGCATGTGTATATGTCTTATTTGTATATCTTTTAAAACTAAATGTTAACTTGTATTTTAAATATATGAATTGGATTTACATATTTCAATTAGAAATGACATCTGCTTACTGCTGGTTATAGTAGGCTATGTGTGTCAGAGAAGCAAGTGATTAAACTATACCTGTCAACATTGGGATATAAAAATACGAGATATTCCCCCAACAACCGTTACAAGTATGAGGAGGAAAATAACCTCAAATGATAGAATACATAACAAACATTAGAAAAATGAAAATAAAATAAAAAGTTTAGCCGATTAAAATCAATTTCCACATTGTTGTTATCGTACGCGTCAAAAGGTTAAAACCGTGTTCACTTTTTTACTTGAATTATTATTCACATGTGGCTCAAATTTTAGGAGGAGTTTATTTGAAAGATTCAAAATTATGTAAAAATGTAACAATATAAATAAAATAAAGTACAATAAAATAAAACCTTGTCACATGGGATCAGGAATAAAATGAGGTAACACTTTATTTTAATAGTCCATTTGAGTATTAGTAGACTGCTTGCTTAATATTTGCTGATACTGCTCCTTTAACAGACATTTAACTGACTATAAGAAACTTTGCAAGTACATGTCAACTTACCCTCATCCTAACTCTAACCTAACAGTCTACTTATAATCTAATAAGAATTAGTTGGCATGGAGATGCAATGTAACTTAGATTTAACAGACCATCAAAATAAAGTGACAAAAATGATTTTTGTTTCTTATAGTTCAAAAGGTAATAAGTGCAAATATAGGCTGTTGGTGGCGCTCTAGAAAGATTGACTCCAAATCCATAGGCAGTCATGCCTTCAGGAGCAGCAGAAACAGAAGAAGGCTGACTTAATAGTAAAACAAACAACTATTGCCAGTATCGTAACAAGCAACAAACCTCTGTGATAAGACGCAACTTTGATGGAGGGTATCACCATGATAATATCCCCGAGCAGCTCAGTAAATGCGTCTCGAATCTCCTCTGGAGTTTTAGCATTTTTAAAGTATTCGTCCGCTATGATTCCATTGGCTTCTGAAGC